CATTCTGAGGAACCTCCATACTGCTTTCCACAATGGTTGAACTAATTTACATTCCCACCAGCAGTGTAGGAGGGTTCCCCTTTCTCCACAACCTCGCCAACATTTGTTGTTGTTTGTCTTTTGGATGGTGGCGATCCTTACTGGTGTGAGGTGATATCTCATTGTGGTTTTAATTTGCATTTCTCTGATGACTAGCGATGTGGAGCATCTTTTCATATGTCTGTTGGCCATCTGAATTTCTTCTTTGGAGAACTGTCTGTTCAGCTCCTCTGTCCATTTCTTAATTGGATTATTTGGTTTTTGTTTGTTGAGGTGCATGAGTTCTTTATATATTTTGGATGTCAACCCTTTATTGGATCTGTCATTTATGAATATATTCTCCCATACTGTAGGGTACCTTTTTCTTCTATTGATGGTGTCCTTTGCTGTACAGAAGCTTTTCAGCTTGATATAGTCCCACTTGTTCATTTTTGCTTCTGTTTCCCTTGCCCGGGGATATATGTTCATGAAGAAGTCGCTCATGTTTATGTCCAAGAGATTTTATTCCTTTATTTTTTTCAGAAGACTCCATACTGTTTTCCATAGTGGCTATACCCACTTACGTTCCCACCAACAGTGCACAAGAGTTCTCTTTTCTCCACATTCTCACCAACACTTGTTATTTCTTATCTTTTTGATGATAGCCATTGTGTGATGTTCTCAACTCCTTTTGGGTTCCTGGACCGATTCCGATATGTTGGTCAGGGTGGGGATTCTTCCCACACAAGTACCACTGGGCAGTTCTCAAGCACCAGCAGGGTGTCTGAGAACTCAATTCTTATGCTGTCTGCCTGGAGATAGCACCAGATTCCCCAGGTTAAAGAATCCATCCTACAAGACTGCCCTCCACCTGCCATTCCCTAGGGCACAAGCCCCAGGCAGTTAACCTGTGCTTCTGACCTACCAGCTACAGATTGGAGGTTCCCACACCTCCCCCTTAAGTTCAGTTAATTTGCTAGAGCAGTTCATAGAACACAGGAAAGGAGACCAAAAAGATACAAGTTAACAGCGAGATAAAGAGAGACATAGGGCTCGGTCTCAAATAAAGGGGCTTCTATCCTCCTGGAGCTTCGGGCCTGGCTCTGTGGCACGTGGACACGTCCTGGTTCCCCAAGCATAGAAGCTCTCTCCCACAAAAGAAGTAGGATCCAAGGGAGCAATAAGCTCATCTCAGGGGTTCTGTGGGCTTCATTGCATAGTAGTGATCGACTGAATTATTAGCCATTGGCTGATTCAGTCCAGCTCCTGCCCTTGGGTGGTGTCCAAAAGTCTCATTAACATGACAAAACATCCATTTCACTTGTAAGACTGCAGTCTTTTCAGGAACTGTGAATGAAGACCAAATATACCTGGGAAATATATATTTGGTCATATGATTGACCAAATATGTATTTCTTATGACTCATTGTATTGCAGCCATTGTAGTAGGTGTGAGATGGTAATCTCATTGTGGTTTGATTTGCATTTCCCTTATAATTAGTGATATTGGGCACCTTTCCATGTACCTGTTGGCCATCTGTCTCTATGTCTTTTTGGAAAAATGTTCAGATTCTCTGCCCATTTTAAAATTGAATATAAAGTTTTTAAATTTAAAAATAAATAAGGGAAGTTATTTTGATTATACCCTAGTTTTCACCAGCTATTTTGAAAAATAGTCTAAATGGCAGAAGAAATACTGTTTAATCCTGTATTTACATAAAATATTAATTTTTCTTTTGATGTCTGAGTTCTTATTTTCTTCACAGGTTTTACACCTCTTTAAAACATTGCACAGGACCAGACAACAGGTTTTTAAAAATGATTCTAGAGCATTAGAAGGTAAGTCTATCTTTTGTCCCTTTGGAGAAGTCCATTCTTCAAATGGCTGCTAATGTATCCAAGAGACCCTGTATGGCCAAGATGTGACCTTCACTATCTCTCCTCTAATGTTCTTATGTTTTGTAAAGATTCATTTACATTAAATTTCTTTGAGGAATAACTACTTAAAATTTTTTTTTTAAAGATCAAGTTTTCATAAAGAATCAGGGAAAGAAAAGGATCACAATTTCAATGTGCTCTGTTACCTGTCTTATGTCAATTCAAGCCATTAAACTCATTTCTCTGTTATATAATCTGCACACTTTCTAAGACCAGGTACTACTATATTGTTCTTGCATTGTATCATTCTAGAAGTGTCAGCAGTTATAAAAGAGACTATCCCAAACTCAGTATTTCACTGTTTGAAGTGGTTTCTATCTTATCTGGAAGCCAGGGCTCTAAAGTTTAAGTTCTGTGTTGGTCATGTTCAATCCTTACACATTTCTAAACTTCTTTAAGACATCTACGTAAACAGTCCTCACTATAAACAGTCCTCACTATCCCTAGGAATTCAAGTTTTTATAATTCACCAAAAATAACTTCTTGAATATTAAAGTATATTCCTGATACTGTATGTATGTCACACAAATTCCTCATTTAATTCCTACAACAGACCTGTGAGGTAGTTACCATTATAATTTCTATTTTTTCAGATGAGAAAACTGACAAAATGAAAGGATTTGTCCCACATCATATTTAGTAAGAGGTAGAACTGAGATTCAGCCTAAGCATTCTGGCTCTACAGCCCAAACTCTTAACCACCTTACATATTGAAATGTATCAAACATAGAAGAAAGGTTTTATGGCTGTTCTCCATCAACATAGCGTATTTTTGTTGCTTTAAATGTTTTTAAGTGACTATAAAATGATTATAAAAACAAGTAACACTGCACATTTCCTAAGCACTCTACATGGGTTCCATTAAATGCTTAAAACAACACAATTAGGCAGTTTGCCAGTTAGATTAAATTATGCTACTGTAATGATGCCAAAGTCTCAGTGGTGTACATGAACAAAAGCTTTATCACTCACTCTACATGTCAGCCCAGGCCTCCAAACTATTTATTTATATATACATGGAGATACATATTTATCCTCTTTGCTGCTCTATCTTTAATTATGCATGGGTTTGTGTATGGTTTAACATGCTTATATGTATTGAGTTTTTCCATCTTAAAAAAAGTTTTCATTTAAATCCTTATATTTATAGAAACAATGCATTAAATTGGACTTACTGTAATCCATTAGCTATAGGCACACTAATGAAATTGGAAGTAAAAAGCAGGAGACAAAATTATTAGGGTGCTAAAGGTTTATATTAGGTTTAATTATAAATTATAAATTTGCCATCCTATCAAAAGCTCTCCAAAAGAGTGAATAAATTTATTATTTTTATACTTTATTTTACATGGGGCAAAACTATTTCCTGTAATAGAGAAGTTATCATTCATAATGAATAATACATAAATTCAGACAGGAATTACAAATAGAAATGTAAATAACTGAATATATATATTTTTCTTTCTTTAGCAGCCAGAATAAAAATAAATGAAGAGTTCAGAAGTAATAAAAGTGAAACTTGTCCTAAGAAAATAGGAAAGGTAAAGTAATTTAGTTTGTTAATTATGATAAAGCTCATGAATTTTCTTAACACCCAGAGGAAATGATGAAAATGGAGAAATTATATGAAATAACTCTTGCTAGATAGCTAAAGCTGTCACAAGTACAGGTGACCTTCACTTGTTTTGTATGGCTCACCTCCTTGGAGTCACCAGCATATACCCGTAAGACAGCAGGTTGCCTGGTGAAAAGAGCATGGATGTAGCCATGGTCAAAGCAAGAGCAGCTGAACCAACTCAGAAACCCACAGAAATTCGATCTTCACCTAAGTCCAGTGACTGAAAGTAAGGTGAATGAGTGTCATAGAAAGGCAGAACTTCAGAGAGAACAGCTATTCATTTAGCTCAACTAGACAGATTATTTTTTTAAGTCTTATCTTGGGATGGAAATTAACCAGCCACAATTGATTCTTGCTTTGTCTTCCATATTTACATTTTGGTCACTTGCTGTAGTTGAAGACAGTCTACTAAAACTAGTCAGTGAGCTCCCTAGTACTCCCAATACATGTTCATTTAAAAAATGCACAGTGATTTTCCTGTATAAAATCATACAGCATATACATGCACATTGTCTCTGTCTTGAGCTTCCTGTTTGTTCCTGTGTCTAACTTTGTATAAAAGTGGGGAAAGAATCCACAGGAATGAAAAATGGAAAATTATTTGCAGGGGTAGTTATAATTCCAATAACTGGATTCATAAAGAGGAAGGTACAAATCAGAGAAATTCTACCATGTTTAATAGAATTTACAAATGTTAAAAAATGTTTTTAATAAAAATGCATTTACATTTTAGTAGAGAAAAATGCTATTTTTGAAATAGTAAATATCTGTAATAGTCAAGCTAGTGAGACAAAATGAGATAGCCTTAATATTTTTATCCCTATAATATAAGGAAAAAAAGGAAAGATTTACTTAAGCATATGTTGGGGCAAATAGGGACTGTTTTATTTTTACTCATGGCAGGCATTAAGATGACATATAATCAAGTCATGAAGAAAAGTTAAAAGGTATATACAGAAGTTTGTATATTTGCTATATAATACATAATGGATATACATATCCTTTTTTTTTTTTTGCTCCTGGATATTTACTACCTCCTGCTTACCCACTCTGATCTCCCCTTACTCTTTGTTCCATCTGGCTTTGTTTCCAGCCATAGACCTAGGACTTAGTTCAATTTATGTACCTCCAAAGGGTTAAGAGGGCCATTTTTTTCCTCTCTGTACCCAGCTAAACCACTACTTGAGTCTGTCAGGAGGTGAGGCTTTGCTTCCACAGCCTTCTCCATGGCAGTTAATGGCAACTGCCTCTTTTTTTTTTTTTGATTGGATTCTAGTTGACATACAGTATTAATTTAGTTTAAGTGTATATCATAGCGAGTTGACATTTATATGCATAATGAAATGCTCACCACAATAAGTGTAGTTATCATCTGTCACCATACAGAGTTATTACAACAGTATTAACTGTATTCCCTATGCTGTCCTTACCTATTTATTTTATAACTGGAAGTTTATACCACTTAATCCCCTTCACATATTTTACCCATGCCCCTACCCACTTCCCCTCTGGCACCCACCGATTTTTTTTCTTTATTTGAGTCTGCTTCTGTTTTGTTTTGTTTGATTTGTTATTTGGATTCCAATAAGTGAAATCATATGGTGTCTTTCTCTGGCTTATTTCACTTAACATAATACCCAGGTCCATCCATCTTGTTGCAAATAGCAAGATTTCATTCTATTTTGTCTGAGTAGTATTGTATGTGTGTGCAGACACACCACATCTTCTTTATCCATTCATCTATCAGTGGACACTTCAGTTGCTTTCATATCCTAGCTATTGTAAATAATATTGCAGTGAACATAGGAGTGCATATATCTTTCAATTTTGTGTTTTTGTTTTCTTCAGGTAAATGTCCAGAAATGGAACTGCTGGGTCATATAGTAGTTCTAGTTTACATTTTCTGAGGAACCTCCATACTGTTTTCCTTACTGTTGCACCAGTTTACATCCCCACCAACAGTGCACAAAGGTTCCCTTTTCTCTGCATCCTTGCCAACATTTGTTATTTCTTGTCTTTTTGATAACAGCTATTCTGACTGGTGTGAGGTGATACCTCATTGTAGTTTTGATGTGCATTTCCCTGATGATTATTTGTTATTGAGCATCTTTTCATGTGTCTTTTGGTCATTTCTGTGTCTTTGGAAAAAATGTCTATTAAGTTACTCTGCCATTTTTTTAATTGAATTATTTGATTTTTTGGTATTGAGTTGTATGAATTCTTTATGTATTTTGGGTATTAACGCCTTATTGAATATATCATTTACAAGTATCTTCTCCCATTCAGTAATTTGCCTTTGCATTTTGTTGATGGTTTCCTTTGCTGTGCAAAAGCTTTTCAGTTAGATGTAGTCCTACTTGATTTGTTTTTCCCTTTGTTGTCCTTGCTTAAGGAGACAGAACCAAAAAATACTGCTCAGACAGATGCCCAGAAGGTTGCTGCCTGTTTTCTTTTAGGAGTTTTATCGCTTCAGGTCTTACACTCAAGTCTTTAAAACCATTTTGAGTTTATTTTTGTGTATGTGTAACACGGTGATCCAGCATCATTTTCTTGCATGTAGCTGTCCAGTTTTCCCAGTAACATTTACTGAAGAAACTGTCTTTTCCCATTATATATTTTTACCACCTTTGTCATGTTTTAATTGACCATGTAAGTGTGGATTTATTTTTGGGCTCTGTTCCATTGATCCATGCATCTATTTTTGTGCCAGTACCACACTATTTTGATTATTGTAGCTTTGTAGTATATACTATGATGTGACATATGATACCCCAGCTTTGTTCTTTTTCTCAACATTGCTCTGGCTAATTGGGGTATTTTGTGTTTCCAATTGAATTTTAGGATTATTTGCTCTAAATGCCATTGCTATTTTGATAGGGATTGCATTGAATCTATAGATTGCTTTGGGTAGTATAGCCACTTTAACAATATTAATTCTTCCTACTCATTAGCTAGAATATCTTTCCATTTATTTGTGTGATCTTCAGTTTCTTTCATCGTTTTATAATTTTCAGAATACAAATCTTCTACCTATTTGGTTAGATTATTCTTAGGTAATATATTCTTTTAGATGAAATTACAAATGAGATTGTTTTCTTAATTTCTCTTTTCTTTTAGTTATTGTATATAGAAATGCAACAAATTTCTATATATGAATTTTGTATCCTGTGAATTTACTGAAGTCATTTATTAATTCTGATTTTATTTTTTGGTGGTGTCTTTAGGGTTTTCTATGTATAGTATCATGTCAACTGCAAATAGTGACCATTTTACTTCTTCTTTACCAATTTGAGTGCCCTTTTATTCTTTTTCTTGTCTGATTGCTGTGGCTAGAACTTCTGGTACTATGTTAAATAAAACGAGTGAGTGTGGGTATGCTTGTCTTGTTACTGACCTTAAAGGAAAAGCTTTCAGCTTTTTGGCATTAAGTATGATGCTAGCTGTGGGTTGTGAAAATTGAATTATTTGATTTTTTGGTATTGAGTTGTATGAATTCTTTATGTATTTTGGGTATTAACGCCTTATTGAATATATCATTTACAAGTATCTTCTCCCATTCAGTAATTTGCCTTTGCATTTTGTTGATGGTTTCCTTTGCTGTGCAAAAGCTTTTCAGTTAGATGTAGTCCTACTTGATTTGTTTTTCCCTTTGTTGTCCTTGCTTAAGGAGACAGAACCAAAAAATACTGCTCAGACAGATGCCCAGAAGGTTGCTGCCTGTTTTCTTTTAGGAGTTTTATCGCTTCAGGTCTTACACTCAAGTCTTTAAAACCATTTTGAGTTTATTTTTGTGTATGTGTAACACGGTGATCCAGCATCATTTTCTTGCATGTAGCTGTCCAGTTTTCCCAGTAACATTTACTGAAGAAACTGTCTTTTCCCATTATATATTTTTACCACCTTTGTCATGTTTTAATTGACCATGTAAGTGTGGATTTATTTTTGGGCTCTGTTCCATTGATCCATGCATCTATTTTTGTGCCAGTACCACACTATTTTGATTATTGTAGCTTTGTAGTATATACTATGATGTGACATATGATACCCCAGCTTTGTTCTTTTTCTCAACATTGCTCTGGCTAATTGGGGTATTTTGTGTTTCCAATTGAATTTTAGGATTATTTGCTCTAAATGCCATTGCTATTTTGATAGGGATTGCATTGAATCTATAGATTGCTTTGGGTAGTATAGCCACTTTAACAATATTAATTCTTCCTACTCATTAGCTAGAATATCTTTCCATTTATTTGTGTGATCTTCAGTTTCTTTCATCGTTTTATAATTTTCAGAATACAAATCTTCTACCTATTTGGTTAGATTATTCTTAGGTAATATATTCTTTTAGATGAAATTACAAATGAGATTGTTTTCTTAATTTCTCTTTTCTTTTAGTTATTGTATATAGAAATGCAACAAATTTCTATATATGAATTTTGTATCCTGTGAATTTACTGAAGTCATTTATTAATTCTGATTTTATTTTTTGGTGGTGTCTTTAGGGTTTTCTATGTATAGTATCATGTCAACTGCAAATAGTGACCATTTTACTTCTTCTTTACCAATTTGAGTGCCCTTTTATTCTTTTTCTTGTCTGATTGCTGTGGCTAGAACTTCTGGTACTATGTTAAATAAAACGAGTGAGTGTGGGTATGCTTGTCTTGTTACTGACCTTAAAGGAAAAGCTTTCAGCTTTTTGGCATTAAGTATGATGCTAGCTGTGGGTTGTGATATATCGTCTTATTATGTTGAGGTAGTTTCCCTCTGTACCCACTTTGTTGAGATTTTTACTTTTTTAATCATAAATGGGTGTTGAGTATCGTCATATGCTTTTTCTGCAGCTATTGAGATGATTACATGATTTTTATCTTACTTTTGTTAATGTGGTATATCACATTGACTGACTTGCAGATATTGAGCCATCTTTGCATCCCTAGAATAAATTCTACTTGATCATGGTGAATGGTCCTTTTTATTTATGTTGAATTTGATTTGCTAATATTTTATTAAGGATTTGTACAACTGTATTCACTGAGGGATATTGGTCTATAAATTTTTTTTTTGCCTTGTCTTTGGTTTTGCTATCATGGTATAACTACCTCATTAAGTGACTTTGGAAGCATTTCTTCATCTTTAATTTTTTGGAATAGTTTTAGAAGGATAGGTATTAGGTCTTCTTTAAATCTTTGATACAATTTATCTGCTAAGCCATCTGGTACTGGACTTCTTTCCATCTGCTGGGGGCACCTCTCCTTTTTGTGCACCGACTAAAAACCTTACTGCTTGCTTGTTTTTTTTTTAAGGTATCATTGATATAAAATCACATGAGCAACATTGTGGTTACTAGACTCCCCCCATTATCAGTCCCCACCACATACCCTATTACAGTCACTGTCCATCAGCATAGTAAGATGCTATAGAGTCACTACTTGTCTTCTCTGTGCTATACTTCCTTTCCTGTGCCCCCCCTGCATTATGTGTGCTAATCATAATGCCTCTTAATCCCCTTATCACTCCCTTCCCAGCCGTCCTCCCAGTCCTCTCCCTTTGGTAACTGTTAGTCCATTCTTGGATTCTGTGAGTCTGCTGCTCTTTTGTTCCTTCAGTTTTTGCTTTGTTCTTGTACTCCACATATGAGTGAAATCATTTGATGCTTGTCTTTCTCCGCCTGGCTTATTTCACTGAGCATAATACCCTCTGGCTCCTTCCATATTGTTGCAAATGGTAGGATTTGTTTTCTTCTTATGGCTGAATAATATTCCATTGGGTATATGTACCACATCTACTTTATCCATTCATCTACTGATGGACACTTAGGTTGCTTCCATATCTTGGCTATTGTAAAATAGTGCTGCGATAAACATAGGGGTGCATATGTCTTTTTGAATCGGTGATCATGCATTCTTAGGGTAAATTCCTAGGAGTGGAATTCCTGGGTCACATGGTATTTCTATTTTGAGTTTTTTGAGGAACCTCTATACTGCTTTCCACAATGGTTAAATTAATTTACATTCTCACCATCAATGTAAAAGGGTTCCCCTTTCTCCACATCCTTGCCAGAATTTGTTGCTTATCTTTTGGATGTTGGCCATTCTAACTGGTATGAGGTGATATCTCATTGTGGTTTTAATTTTCATTTCTCCAGTGATTAGCAGTGTGGAGCATCTTTTCATGTGCCTGTTGGCCATCTGAATTTCTTCTTTGGAGAAGTGTCTGTTCAGATCCTCTGCTCATTTTTTAATTGGGTTATTTGCTTTTTGGTTGTTGAGGCACATGAACTGTTTATATAATTTGGATGTCAACCCCTTATGAGATATGTCATTTTTCAATATATTCTCCCATACTGTAGGATGCCCTTTTGTTCTACTGATGGTGTCCTTTGCTGTACAGAAGCTTTTTAGTTTGATATAGTCCCACTTGTTCATTTTTGCTTTAGTTTCTCTTGCCTGGGGAGATATGTTCATGAAAAAGTTGTTCATGTTTATATTCAAGAGAATTTTTGCCTATGTTTTCTTCTAAGAGTTTTATGGTTTCATGACTTATATTCAGGTCTTTGATCCATTTCAAGTTTACTTTTGTGTATGGGGTTAGACAGTGATCCAGTTTCATTCTCTTAGATGTAGCTGTCCAGTTTTGCCAGCACCAGTTGTTGAAGAGGCTGTCATTTCCCCATTGTATATCCATGGCTCCTTTATCCTATATTAATTAACCATATATGTTTGGGTTTATATCTGGACTCTCTAGTCTGTTCCATTGGTCTATGGGTCTTTACTTGTGCCAGTATCAAATTGTCTTGATTACTGTGGTTTTGTAGTAGAGCTTGAAGTTGGGGAGTATAATCCCCCCTGCTTTATTCTTCCTTCTCAGGATTGCCTTGGCTATTCAGGGTCTTTGGTGGTTCCATATGAATTTTAGAACAATTTGTTCTAGTTGGTTGAAGAATGCTGTCGGTATTTTGATAGGGATTGCATTGAATCTATAGATTGCTTTAGGCAGGATGGCCATTTTGACAACATTAATTTTTCCTACCCAGAACATGGGATGAATTTCCATTTATTAGTGTCATCCTTAATTTCTCTCAAGAGTGTCTTGTAGTTTTCAGGGTATAGGTCTTTCACTTCCTTGGTTAGGTTTATTCCTAGGTATTTTACTCTTTTTGATGCGATTGTGAATGGAGTTGTTTTCCTGATATCTCTTTCTACTAGTTCATCATTACTGTAAAGGAATGCAGCAGATTTCTGTGTATTAATTTTGTATCCTGCAACTTTGCTGAATTCAGATATTAGATCTGGTAGTTTTGGACTAGATTCTTTAGGGTTCTTTAGGTACAACATCATGTCATCTGCAAACAGTGACAATTAAACTTCTTCTTTACCAGTCTAGATGCCTTTTATTTCTTTGTGTTGTCTGATTGCTGTGGCTAGGACCTCCAGTGCTATGTTGAATAAAATGGGGAGGGTGGGCATCCTTGTCTTGTTCCCAATCTTAAAGGAAAAGCTTTCAGCTTCTTGCTGTTAAGTATGATGTTGGTTGTGTGTTTGTCATATATGGCTTTTATTGTATTGAGGTACTTGCCCTCTATACTCATTTTGTTGAGAGTTTTTATCACAAATGGGTTTTAAATTCTGTCAAATGCTTTTTCAGCATCTATGGAGATGATCATGTGATTTTTGTCCTTCTTTTTATTGATACAGTAAATGATGCTGATGGATTTTTTGAATGTTGTACCATCCTTGTATCCCTGGGATGAATCCCACTTGATCATGATGTATGATCCTCTTGATGTATTTTTGAATTCGGTGGTGCTTGCTTTCTTGACTCCTTTTCTTCTCTTATATTTAACTTCCAGTCATTCAAAATACATCCAGAATTCAACCACTTCTCATCCTCCCGATCATTACCTCCTGGTTTAAGCCACCATCCTCTGTCACAGGAATGTGAGAACAGCCTACTAGTGGGTCTCCCTGCTGCCATCCTAACCACCTACAGCCTGTTGTCAATCATTTTAAAGGCAGAATGATCCTTTTATAAATGGCATATCCTATCAGTCATCTACTCGAAATGGCCATGTCTCCTCATCCCATTCAAAGTAAAATCTGAAGTCCCTACCGTAACCTATAAGACTGTGTATCATGTGACTCCTGTTAACTTCCCACCTCAACTCACCTAATCCCCCTCTCACTCTTCTAATTTCAGTGCCTTCTTTGAGGGTGCTTGAATTTGCCTAGAACTTTACTGTCTCAGAGCATTTTTGCTATTGCTTCTCCCAAGAATATCCTTCTTTCACATGCCCTCACGTCTTCATTTAGTAGACCAGTAGATTTTAATCTCTTTCTCCCTTTGAATGGGTCTTTTGCCCAGGTACAATTTTGTAACATTACCCACTGATGATTTGGAAAATTCAGGTTCATCAGGTAATACATATCTTCCAAATGTTGGTATAGTTGAATATATAATATTTTATAATTACATCTGCTTTTATCAATATCCACATCATCAGAAAAATCTTTAAGTATTAGGAAGCTGTTAAACTCATGGAGGTTGATACATTTTCTCCAGAATTCCAATTTTTCACTTGAAAACTGAATTTTAGCATTTTAAAAAAGTACTGTCAGTTGTTTTCTTGAAGTGACTGATTTACAACTCATTTAAAAGAAAATGTCTGCCAAACACACAAGTCTGAATTATCATAGTTTATATGTTAGTTGTTAATTCAAGTGAAAATGGTGTTCCTTCAGGTAAGTTCTTCTTGTGTTCAAAAATCAGACAATGCAGAAAGCTCTAGTGTTAGGAAAATAATTTTGACTTCATTGGGTCTGAAAGGATTTCAAGGTCGCTCAGGGGTCCACAGCTTTGAGAATCACTATTCTATTCCAGTTCTTCCTTTTGCATATTATCAGTTCTGAAACTTAAAGAGGGTAGGTTATTAACCCAAGGCCATACACTAAAATGACAGAGTAAGAGATAGAATCCAAGTTCTCTGTTTCCTGGTCCAATATTCTTTCAACAGTTTAAAACACTGTAAAAGGACAATTTAAAACCTCCTTCAAAAAAAAATGTAGTAAAAACAATATACTAAATCTATTGTGGAACACAATATGGAATGGATGGATTAAAGTTAAAAATATATGCACTGTCTGATCTTTTTATATGCTTGGAATAGTTACAAAGAGTTAAAGACAGTATTACCTAAAAAATTCTAATAAATCTAGAATTTTCAAAAGCAGTATATTCATATGACCTATTGAAAAAACACCTGAAGGATTCATTGTATTTGTTTGGTTTTCTTAACAGCTAATAAAAATAGGTGCCGATGTTGAATTGTTACTCAGAACATCTGTTATACAAGGTATTCATACAGACCACAGTACACTGAGTAAGTAAAATTAAAGAAAAATGTTTTCTGACCACCATATGTTTTAAGAAATTAAACAATTATAGTATTTTGAATATTGATTAGCAAAACAGCTTAATTTTTCTAGACAATGTGGCCTATCATATCTTATATACATTTATAAGGCTACCATTTAAAAGTGCTGAATTATGAAACTTTGTTTTACCATATTTTTTCCTTTCCTCTTTTTCTTTTTTCTTTTTAATCTTAACCATTGGTTATATTATAAAACTACAGTTGCAAGGACAGTATGACTATCATATTTACTTGAGGTTCTTAATTATTTTATTTATTATCATGTACCTAGACTAAGTCTGTTTCTTTAGCTTTTATTTTACGATGAGACTTGTGTTAATTCAGAAGAATTGGGATTATAGAAAATGTAAATAAAGTTGAATATCCTCCATTACCTCCAGATGTCTTGTGGATCTTCAGGTGAATCTCATTTCACATCATATTTTGTTTTCATTCCCAGAAGTATCTTTGGGGACAAACAACAACAAAGATGACATTCAAAATTTTTGAAAGGCTTCTTTTTCTTTTTCTTTTTCTTTAAAGTAAACTATTGAAGTATAACATACAATCAGAAAAGTGTACAGTTTATAACTGTACAACCTAGTAAATTTTCACAAAGTGAAATATCTGTGTAACCAACATCCCCATCAAGCTGTATAATATTATCAGTATCCCAAAAGCCCCGTCATGCCCTTATGTCCCTCCCACATACCTCCCCACAAGCATAACCACTATTCTTTTAACACTATAGATTTTTTTTTAGGTTTACTAGGCTCTCCCCTACCCCAAGTCCCCCCCACAAACCCCATTACAGTCACTGTCCGTCAGCATAGTAAGATGTTGTAGAATCACTACTTGTCTTCTCTGTGTTGCAAAGCCCTCCACTTTCCCCCACCTCCACATTATACATTCTAATCATAATACCTCCTTTCTTCTTCCCTGCCCTTATCCCTCCCTACCCTCCCATTCTCCCTAGTCTCTTTCCCTTTGATAACTGTTAGTCCATTCTTGGGTTCTGTGATTCTGCTGCTGTTTTGTTCCTTCAGTTTTTCCTTTGTTTTTATACTCCACAGATGAGTGAAATAATTTGGTATTTGTTTTTCTCCACTTGGCTTATTTCACTGAGCATAATACCCTCTAGCTCCATCCATGTTGTTGCAAATGGTAGGATTTGTTTTCTTCTTATGGCTAAATAATATTCCATTGTGTATATGTACCGCATCTTCTTTATCCATTCATCTACTGATGGACACTTAGGTTGCTTCCATTTCTTGGCTATTGTAAATAGTGCTGCGATAAACATAGGGGTGCATCTGTCTTTTTCAAACTGGAGTGCTGCATCCTTAGGGTAAATTCCTAGAA